ATTCCTGCCAGAGCTTCTTAACACACCTGAAAGAATCTTGAGTAAGAATGGTTTAAGCTTTACTTTCTACAATATTGCATGGTAGTGGGGAATCACTCGTACTCCAGAGGCATCGCAGGAAAGTGTGCTGTTAGCAAATAGCTAGCAACATTTATCTCAAAGTGGTTTAACAACTGGAGCAAGACCAGGGGCAGTCTGGGGACAGTTCTTGTCATAAATTTTTTTTTAAAAGAAGTGTGGTTTGTTTATGTTTTCATTTAGACAATGCCACATTCTTCAATGGAGTCTTTCAAAATGTGGAAAGTGTTGCATTGTTTTTTGGTAAGTATGCATTCCAAATGTACTTGAACACTGAAGGGAAATCCCATGCCTTTATATATACAAAAAAGGAACAGGGATTTTTGAGGCTGTAGATTTCCCCCAAGACTATTATAATACTAAATACTTCTGAGTGTCAAGCATTACTCAATGTCCCTGTGCTACTGCCTTGTTTAGGCTCTGCGTTCACGTGAATGTCACCCATGTGTGACTCATACCTGGCTCACCTCCATTTACCATGCATTTTATGGCTCTTGTCTTTCCAGACTGCCTGGGTTCTCACTTCACCTGGTTACAGTCCATCTTCACTAACTTCCCTGCCCTGCTCAACTTTGTGAACAAAATGAAGTGTGTTACTGGTTTTTGTCCCAGGGACTTTGAAGACTATGGTTGCTCTTGCCGGTTTGAGATGGAAGGGCTCCCTGTGGATGAAGCTGATGAGTAAGTCTTATCCATGAGATGTTCTCTTCTGCCCAGACTGGCTGTCAGTGCCCTCGTGCTCTGATGACCCAAAACATAGCACTTGCCTAAATGATTTAAGGACAGTTGTAGAAAAATAGATTTATTCAGAGGATAAGTCCCACGCCATTCAGCTCTGTCTAATCTAGTTATCACTCTCTTTCAACCTAAATATTTGATATGACTACAAAAGATAACTTCAGCTCTGGTTTATCAGCTCTGTCCTTCAGAGGATAAGTCCCACGCCATTCAGCTCTGTTTAATCTAGTTATCACTCTCTTTCAATCTAAATATTTGATATGACCTACAAAAGCTAACTTCAACTCCAGTTTATCATCTCTGTCTTGTGCTATTCCTACCTGCTGGTGAGCACTATCTTTTTGCCAGGCCAACACCCTGGACCAGTGCCTTACAGCATGTCTTGGGATACAGATGAAGTTGGGGTGGTCATAATCTACAGCATGTGAAGATCCAATTGCTTCTTTTTTTCTCATAGCTCAGAGTCTCCCTTTGTTTTCCCAACACTTTGGTGTGGAGAAATAGAATCATAGAATCATAGAATCACTTTGGTTGGAAAAGACCTTTGAGATCATCAAGTCCAACCGTTAACCTAACACTGCCATCCCACCTCTAAACCATGTCCCTAAGCACCTCATCTATTCTTCTTTTAAATACCTCCAGGG